TTTTAAGTGGGAGAACTTGCACAATTGGTGGCTGACTAAATCCTTTTTTGCCCCACTGTATCTAAAGCAGACCTTTTGTTATTCTTAGCATCCCTTGCTAACATTAAGTTTATTCTGAGCTTTTACTTTCTTGATATGAGCTCTACCGTTCTGGCTACCTGTGTGTACTATTCCTTTCTGATCTGATCCTTTTTCCATTTCTTGTATGCTGATCCAATAATCGTGATGGGTTGAAGATAAAAATGTAGTTCAGCTTCCTTGTCACCCTCTTCTTCTATAGGATTTTAAGAAGTTGGACAAATTTACTTCAACACATTTTAGATGATGTATTCCTATATGATTAGAAACTAACTTAAAACATTTTTATCAATACTGTAATCCATTATATGAAGCCTATAAAACAAGTCACTTATTAACTATAAGTGTCACATAGTTGTTTCAGAATGTACCATACTGTATTTATACTAAGAATACAATATGGTCCACAAACAGGAAACAGTTTGAAAATCAAACATTTTAATATAAAATGCTGCCATTTCAAAATTTACTGAACCCAGTAAATTCATGATTAGGCTTACTTTGATCATCTAATTCAGGTACTTTCATCATTAGGCCAGATTGTTAGATGAATGAATATATGAAGACATTCTGTGTACTGTTATGTCAGACATTTGTAAGATCTTCATTGGAAAATATAAAATTCAAACAAATTATACAACTTCTTAAAACTCATTTTCATTTAAGTAGTACTAATGTTTTAAACAGTCAAGCGCTAGGCTAAAGTATGCTATATTCAAACATAGTAAAACTATATAATCATGAAAAGATATTTAACAGTTCTTGAAGAATAGGACCCAACTTTTACACTTGGAGTTTGGCTGTTTTACAAGATTTTATTAAGATGAAGCATGTGGTCATGGTTATATTCAGAATTAATTCACTTAACTGATACTTAAATATATCATAAAAATATGTGTCTGCTTCTATCAAAACATTTGTTAGTGGCATAGCAATAATATTACTATGAAAATTACAGTTTTGATGGCTTACCTTCTGTGGCAGATGGCATTTAAACTTTCAGCCTAATCAGTATACAATGGTACTAGTGCTCTAGATGAGTGAAAGGAACATTTTTAAAAGAGGAAGTAACCAGAATATTTGGCAAGATTTCCACAACTAATCAGAAAAGTAAGTTTCTCAAAAAAACAAAGTACTTTTTAAAAGCAAGACATTATTATAACAATGTAGACTTCTGGAATTAAGTTCTATTTGAAACAACCTTTCAGTTTTAAATGTTAGCTGAAAAATTAGGAAAACTTCATTTTTATGCTTAGCATCTTTAATGATGTTTTTTAATTTTTGAGGGGGGGGGGTGCCTTCGAGTCAGTGTTGATTTCTGGCAACTGCCTGGACTAGTCCCTACAGTAATGCTCCATTACAACCTAACAACTCTCAGCAGCTTCCACTTTATGTAACAACAAATGTAAAAGTTCAACAGTACGTTCACAGCATCATAATTGTTCATCTTCTAGCTTTGGCTACTCTCCCTTCTTGGAAGTATGTGACCAAAAATTATTTATCCTTAAAGGATCTAAGGGATTGGGTTGATTCCAGTTGGAACAAGTGGTCCTACAGGTACCAAGCCGTGAAGGTTATATAGATGAGCACACTTTAGATTGTACCCAGAAACTTACTGGCAACTTATGCAGAACCTGCAAAATTGGGCTTATATGCTCCCAGTGCTGACAGCCAGTGAGCACGCAGGCTGCTGTATTCTAGACTAGCTGCAATTTTCTAGTAGTCTTTAAGACCAGCTTCATATACAGCACATTATAGTAGTCTTAAGTGGTAATGTGAGTGTGAGATACAGTAACTAGGTCCTCTTGCATAACGTAAGGTTGCAGTTGGTACACCAGCTGAAACTGGGCAAAGGCTTCTCTAGCCACAGCCTCTACCTGTTGTTCAAGCAGGAGCTATGAGTCCAGAAGGATCCCTCAATTGCAAACCTGCTCCTTCATGGGCAGTGCTTGCCCTTCTGGTGTCAATGGAGATAGCAACTCCATCCTACGTGGGTTCAGCTTCAATCTCTTCTCTTCCATTCAGACCCTTACAACCCCTCCTCCATAGCCTGGGGTGGTGATACAATATTTAGTATCATTGGATCCTGATGACGCTATATTCCAAATTGTCAGATGACGTGGACCAGCAGTTTCATGTAGATGTTAAAGAGTAGAGGAGACAGGACCAATTCCGGTGGCATCCCACATTGCAGAAGCCTCCATGATCTCACATCTCCCCCCCAACTGAAACTGCCCACTGAGGGAAAGGAACCATTACAAAACAGTGCTTCCAGTCCCCAATTACTGTAGGCCACATTCAGTGGTACCCAAACTGCCAAGAGATCTAACAGGACCAAGAGGAGTGTGCCACCCTCTTCTAGATCCTGATCCAAAAGAATGACCAATGCAGTCTCTGTCCCGTACTCAGGTCTGAACCCTGAGTGAAAAGGGTTCATATAATCTACTACTTCTAGGGTGTTACCATCTGTCACTATGTCTCAACAGCCAACCCTAAAAAAGGGAGATTGGATGATAATTATCCAAACCCTCAAGGATGGCCTTTTCAGAGAGGGCACAACACAGCCTCCTTCATGACTGCTGGTAATTCCCTCTCCTGCAAGGAAGCCTTGACAATCTCCAGGATCCAAGGGGTTACTTCTTCATTTGCTCCTCACAATAGCAAGGACAGGTAGGGGCTCAAAGAACAAGCAGCAGGAGACAACCTAGCCAGCATCCTATCCACTTCCTTGGAGATTAGGCATCTCAACTATCCAAATATGTCCTCCAGTTCCACAGAGATCATGGGTGGCTAATAATTGTAACTGGATCGGGGCTTATCTGATCATGGCAATGGGGTGATAAAAATCCCTTCTATTTCCAGATCACCGAAACAAAACCAGAAACATTTTTAGATTTTCACTCTTCAAAGATAGTTGACATAAACTCATGACTATGATTTTTTCCACTGAGTGCAATTGGATTTACTCATAGATCAGAGGGTTAAGTATAGCTTTAATGAGATACAATCTGGCTGCAGTCAAAGCAAAGGGTATTTGCCAAGTGCATCAATTTTAATCTGATCTTTTAAACAGAGCATCTATATTTAAGTTGACTTTTTCTATTACTTGTTTATCTAATGTTGCTCATGTGAGCTGCACTTCAACTGTTTATCTTCATTTTAAATATTGTACAAAATTGTTTTCAATCTTTATTAGATTTTTTTTGTGTGCCTTTGACTCCTGACAACTGCCTGGACTAGTTGGTTTTTGTGCCTTCAAGTCAGTGTTGACTCCTGGTGACTGCCTGGACAAATTCCTCGTTTTCTTGATAATGTTTTCACAAGTGGTTTGCCATTGCCTCCTTCCTAGTACTGAGAGACAGTGACTGGCCCAAAGTCATCCAGTTGGCTTCATGCCCAAGGTGGGACTAGAACTCTCAGTCTCCTGGTTTCTAGCCTGGTGCCTTAATCACTATACCAACTGGCTCCTGGACTAGACCGGGCAGTTTTCTTGGCAAATTTTAAGAAGTAGTTTGCCACTGCCTTCTTCCTAGAGCTGAGAGAATGACTGGCCCAAGGTCACCCAGTTGGCTTTATGCCTAAGGCAGAACTAGAACTCACAATCTCCCAGTTTCTAGCCTAGTGCCTTAACTACTACAACAAACTGGGGAGGGAGGGAGGGTTCAGTTTATAAAATGGCTTAGGTCCAAAAATGTCTTGCACTAGTAGAAACACACTTCTGCTAGCCCAAGGCAAACACCCTGCATTCTGGCCATTGTTTCATTCTCCTGCAATCTTGAACACTGCATCCCATTCTACTCAAGAGGAACTATTAAAAGTGGTTAGGGGACAAAACAGGAAATTTTAGTTGGGAAGAGTCAGGAAAAACCTGTTGTACATGGTTATCAATACACTTACAATTCCAATGGTAAAACTTTAAGGTTTTGCAGAAATAATCTGCAATGAAAGAATGCTGAATTCTCATAAGCAAGCTACTGCAAAATTTCATAAATCAATAGAAACAAGCAACTGTAGCATAACCTCTTTGGTTAGTGCAAACTGTATAGTAGTTTAAAAAAAAAATCAAAAATGTATTTATTAAACCATTAAACTCCATACTTTATTTCAGTTCTTGTTCAACCAATTGAACAGTAGATGCACATCTTTTTCCTGTCTTTTTTTAAGGCACAGATTATTGCTATCAATTACTTAAAATGAATACAGTAATGAAACCAATAATAGGCTACAGGAAAATTAGTAAGTACACCAAATTTACTTATCAAGTTGAAGTAGAAAAAACATTAAGTCTGTATATTGTGTCTGCACGTGATCACAATTCAGTCTAGAATACAGAGTATCTTAACAGTTTCAGGGAGAAAAAACTTTCAATATGTTAAGCCTAATTTATATTATTTTTTTCCTTTACGAGCTAGTATTATATTGCTGTAACACAATACTCCTATTTCTTTAGATTCTAGTAAAATAGTGGAGCAAAAAGAACTAAACCAGTTGAAATTTAAAGAGTTGTCAATACTGTATTGATTTCTCTTCTATGGGTGTATGAACTTTCCAAATCGTATTAATTTTTAATTAAAACATATTTTGCCGATTTAAGACACCAGTATTAACAAATTTTGCTAAAATTACTTTAGCAGCAACAAATCCAACTTTAAAAAGTTACATTTGATTACATTCTTATTAATGAATTACTGTTGAATAAGCCGTTGGGTAGATGGCTTAAGTGAACCAATGATAGCTTTGTTCAATTCATGAAGTTGATATGAGGATCCACACAAGAGAGTGAGAGTACATGGAAAAATTCAACAGAAGAGGACTATGTGACATATTTCTGAACAAAACGTTCAAATGCATCATATATGGCTTGCCTAAAAGAAAAAAGAAAATTAATTATACTAATATCATTCAGATATCAATTCAATAAAGCTTTATATTATTTTACATTATAAAATTCAATTTGAAGATTGTGATTGCTGTTACTGTAAACTGCAACTTCATAGTTCATAGCCAACGCAACGCAGCAGATTCTCACATGCAAATTATAATTCTACCCACAAAATGGTTTGTGTACTTTAATATATTAAGTACCAGCTCAAGTGAGCCCTACCCTTGAAACTAACTATAAATTCCCCCTGATTGGCTGCCAATTTTAACCATAATTATAGCCCAATTAAGAAATGGTAAAGCAGTTAGAGATTTGATCCCTGCAGAATAAAAACAAATACAGATTGGTGGACTTCCATAAAAGCCTCCCTCTTTACAAAGATAAGACTATTTTATTCAGATGCCCAAAGGCTGATGCTGCCCTATAACAGTCCAAATCTTTAAGAAGGGTGATAAATCTAATCTAAGTTCTAACAAATTTGTCTTTCAAATGTTATTAGTAAATATATACCAAATGCCTACTTGAGAAACTCAGTGATTGGCTAGATAAACAACAAATGTTATTATAAATAAATGCATTATGCTTAACTACTTGGTGGGAAATTACATTTGGCTACAGTAATGGAGTAAATGAGACCAATAAGCTAAACCTCAGTCATACCAAGATTAAGGTTACATTAATGGGTAAATTTATTATTCCTAAGGAATGAAACTTAGATGCCTATAAAACTAGATCTATCACCAGAAGCCAATTTTGACCTTACCTGAATAGGCTGGCTACTAACTTCCTATTTAAATAGCTGCCCTGCAAGATACTCCAGAAACTTCAATTAGAACAAAATACTAGAAGTATTTTACTAGAAGTAGCATACTAGTACATCATCACTAGCTACCAGCTGATTTCTGGGCCCAATTCAAAATCCTGGCTTCAATAAAATTCCTTCTGAATATACCCAAAACATTCCATTTGCAAGATGAAAATTATATGGGACTTCAGAACATTCTGTTCTTCCTCTGGACCACAGCAATCTGGCCAAGCCAAAAACGGTTCAGCACTTTTCTCAAAGTGTTTTAGAAAAGAACTAGAGTGCTCCCAGAATGGTCAAATCCGGAAGGGGAAAATGAATCTTCCAAAGCTCCCAGTAAAATTTTGTCTTTGGGATGCAACATTTAACACACCCCTAATTACTACACAGGCTGCACTCAGAGTATCAGAAGGAACAGTCTTCCAATACATTCCTGAGTCTGCCAAGATCAGAAGTCCAGTATGACAAAATAACAAAAAGGAACAGCTTTTCTTTCAGTAAGAACCCCTGGCTTGGAATAATCTTCTCAGAAAGGTCTACTTTTATTTTGGAATTAGAAAAATTATTTATATTCTTAAGCCTTTTAGTTTCAGAGTATTTCCAGCAAATGCATAACTATTTGAGTATAGAAGCTAAAACCTAAAAGACCATTTTCAGTCACATCAGACTTTTAGACCCTACTGATCCTTGGGGAAGTCCTACTCTCTGCACCATGACTTACAGATTGCCAATTCATGGGGATTCAAGCAGGCTTTCTTTGGGAGGGCACATGCTTTGTAGTATGCAAAGTCCTTACACGGATGTGTATAAGGTGTTAAAAAAGTATATTGTTTTCTGTGGCCTTCTCAAGCCATTAATGCTCTGTGGAGTTTCTTTTGTAATGAATTGTTTTTAATGGTATTATTACCTGATTATGTAGTATGTTGTGATGTTATGTTATGTTACACTGATTTTGCATGTTTAAATAGGCAGTATACAAATAATTTAAATGATTTTTAACAGCAGCTACACATGATTTTCAATGCTTATGCTGAATGACTAACCTGAACAATCCTTGTTTGAAGAGATAAGCACTAACATGACCTCCATCCAAGTATCTGATTTCACATCCTGGCCAAATTTCTTGAAGGCTACGCACCCCAGTTCTTGGAATATAGGCATCTTCCTTAGCTTGAACAACTATGATCAGTGTGGGGTCAACTGGAACTGAGAACAACAACTTCTTTGAAGATAAATTTATTAACTTTAGATTTAATAGCATGTTAGAAATGTTTCTTGCATTACAACATAATTAACATTTATAAATTCTTCAGCAAGTGGCAATATAGCCTCAATAACTGCATATCAAATCAAATCTTTATTACTTTCAAACAGCAGCTTGTCCTACTACTGGTTTTTGGAGTATGGCCTATGTGCCATTCAGATGCCGTAACCCAGAAAAAAAATGTGTTCCATCATTTCAATACACTGTACAGTCAGTTGCATAGCTTGTTGAGATTTTGCTGCCCTGATTAATCAAATTAAAACAGCAAACTGTTGGTGATCTCAGCTTTGCAGTATTAGAACTAATAGGGTCCTGACTCTGCTTCCAGTATACTATCCACTCAGTATTGTCTTTCCCTAGCTCTAGCCCAAATCTGCCTTTGTACTAAGTTCTAGCCCAAATCTGCCTTGTACTTTCTAAATTGCTTAATTGTTTAATAAAACTGCAAAGCTGAAATTCAACCTGCATTCAATCTTATCTAGAAGAAGAAATCTTCATTGCAGTCAGACCAGTATATAATAAAAACTGAATGGTATGCTCTGGTTTCTCTTCAGATTATATAAATGAATCTTATCTATATCTTGCATTACAATGCAGAGTATTGAATTAGATGGTTAGCAGATATGTAATACTTCAAAGAAACTCCACTTATATATACATTAAAAAAATCTCTTACATCATCTACGTTTGTTGTTTTAAAGAAATAAATATAAAGAATATAAGAGCAAAATTCAAGTTTAGTAGGTGTGCACATATAGAAAAGACAACTTAGGAAAAAAAGTATAATAAAAATTATGAACAGTGTTCTAAGATGGAGAATTATTAAATAGGATTACAAATTAATAAAGGACAGAAAATCTAAAACACACTAAAATTAGTATATACCTGAAAAATTAGCAACATGGGTACATTCATCCATTACTCCTTTCATGAATCTTAAGGATTCCCTTTGTAAACTCTCACTTTTTCCACTTATCAGGTCCTTTTGTTCATTGGAAAAGTTAGTACTACTGCTGCTGGTTGAAAATGTCTGGTTTATGCACTGCATTTTGGGTGCATCTTGCACCAACAATCCTTCTGCTGAGGTACTTAGATTACTTCTGTTAGTACTAAGGCAGTGACCCACTTCTGAAGAAAGAACTTTGCCTCTGATATCCAAGTTCAGAATACCGGAGTTGAGATCCAGATTACTCAAGCTGTCCACACTGCTTGGAGAATTTTTAACAAAGTCTTGCCCCATCTTGAATGAATCTGTCTGAATAAAAATATTTATCAAACTGAAGCGCTTTGGCATATTTTTCAATATATTCTTTTCAATCAAATCTTGATGTTTTAAAATGTGTAAAAATAGATTGATCTCTTAAGATAATGAATTATTCTATATGATTGCTGTTGTATTTTAACTGAAAACATGTCCAGAACATGTGCTAGATGGATATTTATTTATTAAATTCCTATCTTAAATTTTCATTTTTAAACAAGCCTCAAAGTAGAGGCTTATTATTAATATTAATATTATTAATATTAAGACAAAGTATTAAAATATGTATTAATATTCCTCTATTCTATGTATTAATAGAATACTGTATTAATATTCCTCTATTTACCTCCATTAAAAACAATTTACTTTCTACTAAGAATGACCTACCAAAACATGTGTACACAAAACAATACCATAGAATACTGATAAATTGCTAGCACTATAATATAATATATAGGGAAATTTCCCCATACTGTCAGTTCTGTTTAATTACACCCTAAAATAAACCAAGCAAAAGGAAGTCTTCAGAAGCTTTGCTACAGATGAATAGTCTAGAGACTCACCCCAAAGTGTGTTCTCCCTGCCATATATTATGAGAAATGTTGGTAACTCGTACCAGTCATTTAGTTTTTTTTCTAAATTATTACTGAAAATAGTGCTGATACATTTCCAAATACATATCTGCCCACTGACAGGGATTCATGCTTTGATCACTTTGTATCTGGATTACTGCTGCGCACAAAGTGTGGGACTGCCTTTGCAGATGTCTTGAAAACTGCAGCTGGTACAGAAGGGAGCAGTCAGGCTATTAGCCAGGGAACGCCATTATTGTGGTCAATGCATTAATTACCAGTAGCTTTCTGGTCCAGTTCACAGTATTGGTTATCATCTAGAGAGACCTATCTAGTATGGCATTGGGATGGATCAGTGAACACTTTGTCAAAAATGATTCTGCAAAACACAATGATAATAAAGATGGAGATACATATCCATATATGTATCTCCATCATTGTTATTATGTTTTGCTTTCTTTTTCTTTATTATTAAAAATAATAACAAGTATGATTCTGCAAACATCAAAGAGCTGTCTGCTCTGGGTTGCTCCAATAGGAGGTTAAGACAATTAGTCCAGGCAGTCACTGCTTTATGGAAACGCTCCCCTTGGAAGTATGATTTGTCTCTCTTAATTTGTTAAGTTTCAAGAAGTATACAATTTATAAGTCCTTATCAGAAATACAGGAAACCCTCAATTTAACAAACTAATAGGGAAAAGTGTCCATTAAACTGAAGGTATATTTTAACCCTATCAGTAGCAACTGTTACGATAAGTCTAGTGCGTACCAAGCCCCCGCCCAGCAGTTCCTAGCATGGCATATCACATCTTCCTACTCCCTGATCTTTGGAGGATATTACCTCTCAGCCACCACCAATGTCCAAAACAGATTTTGTCTGTTCATTTGAAGTCTACCAAACTAAGGTCTGTTAAGTTGAGGGTTTACTGTACATGTTATCACCATGTTTATATGTCATCCTTTAGGAATAAAAGAGAAACACTCTGATTATTTCAATATGAGTAATGATCACAAAAAAGCACAAACATACTCTTACGTTTTGGGTTATTTTCTCATTAGAACCCAGTGTGAAAACAGAGTAGCTAACTTTATGATAAGAAACTTAGGAATGACTTTATTAAACTGCAACAATGATATATGATATCAATACCTTTACACAATTAAAGGTTAAAAATGGATTCAAAAACATTTCTCTTACTAACTGTTGTCAGCATAAAAGCAGAATTGAATCCACATAAACACGTCTTGGAGTATTTTTGCTGAAGTGCAATAATTAGTTGCCTATGGTTTATAGACAGCCAAAAACTTCCTAGAAAGAGTGTTCTAAAAATTATTAATATTAGCAAAACAAAATAAAAATCCAGCATTTAGGATATTAACATAGTTTCAAAAAAGTTTTTTTTTCTTTTTACTGTATACCATTCTAGCATTTGTTCCCACCACGTTCAATTAATTTCTCTTTAGAAAAAGATATACCAAGGGTAAGATGTGTTAATAGAACATCAAAGTATAAAGTGCACAGTTCTGCTCACTGTTGGAATATGTAATCCCATGATAATAGACAAGATGATTAGTAATTTCTGCTACATAAATATTTTCATATAAGATAGATTCCATACCAGAACTTTTTATACAAATAAATGGAAATGGAAACAATGTGGTCTGTGATAGCAACCTTTAGCAACATGCCCTTTTAGTGGCAACTAATTAGTTTGACCAGCAGATGGATTTGAAGATGATGTTAAGCTATCCTTTCCAAGTAACTTGCAATATCCTGCTCCTCTTTATAATTTTACATAGCAGTATTTATTTAAAATTATTTATATGCAACTTCTTGCAACTCTAGGCAGCTTACAATACAATAAAACACCCTTAAAATATCCATAATATAATAAGCAATGAAAAATATCAAACACCTGTTATTAATAGAAACTGCAACAGAAACTGTTGCCACCAATGGGCTGATCATTTTATACAAATGCCTCCTAAAGCAGACTGTCTTCATCATTTTATGGAAAGCCATCAGAGTAAGATCACATCAGGGGGCAAGGAGTTGCAGAGGGAAGGGGCTGCTACTGAAAATGTCATTCTCCAGATCCCAAACATCCTGATCTCCCTGATACTTCATGCAGGGTGGGCCAATTCTATCTGAAGTTTAAAGAAACCGCTATAGGAAAAGAATTGAGAATTTTTATGTGGCTTCTCCTCCATTATTTTAACCTGTAAACTACTCACAACAGTACAGTGGTACCTCGGGATACGAACTTAATCCGTTCCGTGACTCTGGGCATATC